CACCCTTTCCAAAATGACTCCACTCATGCAGCATTACTTTTTAAGCCTGTAACCCTAGAAGCTATTTTCTAGTATTGTAGTTTAGTAAGATCAGCATCAGAAAAGAGTAGATCGTCGTCATTGATGACTACTATGAGAGTTTACATTAATTGTTTTTACAGGACTGTATTTATGGTTCCTTACTCTCAGTTTTCTGAATTATTATGAATTTTAGATCTTGGCCTAAGTGTATCTAACACCTTTAAAATTACGTAGAGAATACTGATAAGTGTCACAGTTCATTTATCATCATCTCACTTGGGTTTCTGTGGGTCACTTTACAGTTGACACAATGGAACAAGTTGGTCAGTTTACTACATAGATAGCAAAAGCCAATCTAATTCTAGCAGCACTCATAAATCATGACATGCCAGTCTCTAAATCTAAACTAGATTTTGGTGTTTTAGCTCTGAACAGCAAAACCAAGTGCAGATTCGCTCACAGAGTCCTTAGGACTAGACGTAATTAGAGAGGAGCTGTTTCTAAAACTCAGAATGAATTCTGAATGTACTGCTTCCAGTTTTAAACCACGTACAGGTGATTTGATCAGCATTTGGCTAGGCTTAGTGGGACCATTGTTAAAACAATTGGTTAATTGTTAGGGAATACTCTATGGTAAACCCATAGAGTAGTTTCCCCTTATCTTCAGGGCATACTTTGCAGGACCCCTGGTGAATTCCTGAAACCACAGATGGTACTGAAACCTATATATACTATGTTTTTTCACATGCATACATACCTATGATAAAGTCTAATTTGTGAATTAGGCACAGTAAGAGATTAACAATAATAATAAAACAGAACAGTTATAACAATATACTTTAATAAAAGTTATATAAATGTAGTCTCTTTTTACAGTGAGTAAGTATCTTATTGTACGGTACTTAACTATTTTCAGACCATGGTTGACTGTGGAAAGCAAAACCACAGGTAAGGGGTACTGCTATATGCAGTGCTTAATTTGTGACTAATACTCAATAATGTAGCACAATTCGAGTCTTTATTATGAATCCTTTCTCTTTTTTATTGCAAAATCAGTGTAGGCTTATTTATCATTGCTCTTTGATAGTTTTTTTTTTAATTTATAATTTTTGAGCATTTGGTAATTTTTTCATGGCTTAGGACTTTAGCTTCTTTATCCATCTCTTCTTTTAAACTGTGGTAAGGTATACCTAACATAAAATTTACCATTTTAACCATTTTTAAGGATGCAATTCAGTGGCACTAAGTATATTCATATTATTGTGCAGCCATTGCCACCATCCGTCTCTAGGAACTTTTTTTTTTTCTCTGAGATGGAGTCTCAGTCTGCCTCCCCAGCTGGAGTGCACTGGCCCGATCTCGGCTCACTGCAACCTCCACCTCCCAGGTTCAAGCGATTCTCCTAGCTCAACCTCCTGAGTAGCTCAGATTACAGGCACCCGCCACCACACCCAGCTAATTTTTGTATTTTTAGTAGAGACAGGGTTTCACCATGTTGTCCAGGCTGGTCTCGAATTCCTGACCTCAGGTGACCCACCTGCCTCGGCCTCCCAGAGTGCTGGGATTACAGGTGTGAGCCACTGCACCTGGCCAGAACTTTTTAATTATCCCAAATGAAACTCCGTACCTAATAAATAATAACTTTTACCACCCCTTCCCCCATTACCCAGTAATCACTATTCTACTTTCCTGTCTCTGTGAGTTTGACTGTTCTAGATATCTCATATAAATAGAAGCATACACTATTTGTCCTTTTGTATATGGCTTATTTTATTTAGCATTCTGTCCTCAAGGGTCATCCATGTTGTAGCATGTGTCAGAATTTCCTTCCTTTTTAAGGATGAATAATATTCCATTGTATGTATATACCACATTTTGTTTATCTGTTCGTCCACTGATGGACGTTCAGACTGTTTCCACCTTTTGGCTATTTTGAGTGATGCTGCTATGAACGTTGTATGCCCATCGCTTTTAAACTCCTGTGTGTATGGTTATGTATATATCTTTCTAATTTTGACTGTGAAAACCAATCTGGAATAAAACATGTTCTATAATCTTCTTTAGGGCTGTGTTGAGGCTAGCATGGTATTGCTTAAGCAGTCTGATCCTAATTCATTCCTATCTTGATTGATTTTAGGGTTCAAGTAAAGCCAGTGGTTCCAAGCAGCAATGGACTAAAATTCTGTGGTCTTGTAAGGAGACCTTCCGAATGCAGCTTGGGAGACTCCTAGTGCATATTTTGTCACCAGCCCACACTGCACAAGAGAGAAAGCAAATTTTTGAAATACTTCATGAACCAAATCATCAGGAAATACTGCGAGACTGTCTCAGCCCATCCCTACAAGTAAGTGTCTCAGCTTTGATAAGTACAACTTTTGGTGAAATATAAAGTCTGAATAAAACAAGAACTGAAATTAAATTGAATTTTCATGCCTAATTTATAATTTTCTTACCAAGCAAATTTAACCTAAGGCCTTTCCTTAGGTGCTTTTACACAGGCTCAATTTAACCTCTGTGTTTATTTCCCAATCTTTTTTCTAGTGCCTAAATTAAGAAGTTCTGTTTCAGAGTTACTGTCAGATACTTTGTAATGTGTTAACATATCTTGAAGTGTTTTCTTTAAGGATTGTTTGGAGGCTTTTTAAAAAGCATTATATTACCTGTGAAACATCTATATTGAATAGCTCAAACAACAATACATATAACATATTTCAAAAATATGTGTGGTCAGTTAAAATAGAAAAAAATTATTAATCATTTGGAATAATCAAACCCAAAATACCTAAAAGAATTTCAGAGTGTATAAAGTTTACCACTTCAAAAGTGGTAGTTGGAAAGTTTAAAAGGTACATTAAACCATATTGGAGGGCTGTTTAACAGTTTCTTATAAAATTAAACATATATATATATATTTATTTATTTATTTTGAGACAGTCTCGCTCTGTCACCCAGGCTGCAGTGGCCGGATCTCAGCTCACTGCAAGCTCCGCCTCCCGGGTTTACGCCATTCTCCTGCCTCAGCCTCCTGAGTAGCTGGGACTACAGGCGCCCGCCACCTCGCCCGGCTAGTTTTTTGTATTTTTTAGTAGAGATGGGATTTCACCGAGTTAGCCAGGATGGTCTCCATCTCCTGACCTCGTGATCCGCCTGTCTCAGCCTCCCAAAGTGCTGGGATTACAGGCTTGAGCCACCACGCCCGGCCTAAACATATTTAACTTGTGACCATGTTACTCCATTTTTAGATATTTACCTAAAAGAGAAATTAAAGCATATATTCATTGAAAGACTTGTTTAAGAATATCCATGGCAGCCTTTTTTCATAATAACCAAAAACTAGAAATATTCAAACGCTCACCAACAGAAGAATGTACAAATTGTGATTTCTTTATACCTGTAGAGAGAAATCTATATAGACTATTCTACAGCACTGTATAGACTATTATACAGCTTTAAAAAGGAACAGACTACTGATACACTTACCATTATGGATGAATCTCAGGAACACTGAGCGGGGAAAGAGACAGCCAAACACAAAGGAGTACAATCTGTGATTCTGTTCATCTGAAAGAACAAGCAAAACCAAGATATGATGCTAGAATTCAGGACAGTAGTTGTCTCTGTGGAAGGGGGATGGTGAGAAAGGGAATTGACTGGAAAGAGGTTTAAGGGAACTTTCTGGGGTGATAAAAATAAGATCTTATTTTGAGTAGTGGTTAAATGGATGTATGCAATTGTCAAAACTCATAGAAACACTTAATATATGTATGCTTTATTATATGTAAGTTATACCTCAATAGAGATGAGAGAGGGTATATTAAAAAGGATAGGTATCCCCTTTTAATACATGGAAAACTCATATTAGGAGTCAAAACTATTGGAAGGGATACTTTTAGGTGATTTTTCCAGTATTAACACACTTTCAAGTACACTGAGGGCACTGTCTTCCTTTTCCCAAGACAGAAGCATATTTAGCCTGTATTTTCCTTCTGTGGAGAATTTGAAATGGTGTTTTTTTCTTTCCTTTATACTCAGCAAAGTTGCTATCCATCAAAATTCAACCTCAGTGTTAACAGTCCACTTTTTCTCATACCATCTTCCCTTCCCCACTACTTCATATCTGTCATGTCTTCCCACTACTTCATGTCTGTCAATCATTATTGAATTTCAGCTTGAAAATTTTAACTGTTGTTGTTGTTGACTTTTTCTTCTCTCTCTCAATCTATTTCATCACCAAGGCCAGTTGTTTATTCACCCACGAAGACTGAGGATATTGTCTTTAACCTAATAGTTTTAGCAACCACTGATAATTGCCAAGATCCACTTTTTCATTAGAGTTACAAAATAGTGATATCTCTAAGCCTCTCATTCCATCAACATCTATAAGCTCTGACTTTTCTATAGGGAAGAACTTTCCCTTGTCAACTATTTGGCTACCTTTTTTTTTCTTTTTTTTTCACTGTACAAGATTTATTGTGGGTTTTAGTTAGTATGACACTTGGATAGTTGGTTGCATTGTTTATATGTAGATCTCTTTGCATAATACGATAATGTACACTACTGATATATTTAGTTCACAAAATAAGATTGTTTGGAACAATTATGCACCATACATGCAATATTGGATTTATACACTGGATCCAGAATGTGACTGATTGGGAAAAAATGTTGGACCAGGCATGTTCAGTGAAGGAGCCAGGAAGTTATTTATATAACACGTGGTAAACATCCATCTGGCTCAAGGGGCAACTGCAGCATGTGCAGCGTTGGCAGTGGTGCCTCAGAGGTGGCAGAACTATTTCACACCAACCAGTTTAGGACTACACAAGATTAGTACCATCCAGCCTACAGGATGGTACTATAGGATATAGCTACCCACAGGATATAGTACCTACAGAATATAGCTGTAGGATTTTACAAACCATTCCTATTTCTAACTTTAGGAACTGACGTTTTTCCCAGTCCATCTTAACATTACTGCTTTAATCACAGATCAGATAAAAAGGACAATATGCACAACCTCCAACTAAAATCCTGTTGTAGCCTAGACAGTGAAATGGTATGCCATCAGAAGACTTTAAAATTGCAGCTCTTTTTGTATCCCCCAAAGTGGAACTGCACTCTTCTTCAAACGGCCCCTTAGGAGTCAGAGTCACCTTCACAGGGTCTGAGATTCTGTTCTGTCCCAAGATGCAAGGAACACTAAGGAAGACATCATCCTTTATTCCATAGAGACCCTTAATCATGGTGGAAATTGGGTGCACCCACCCAAGATTCTTCATTATACTGTCTGCCAAATCTGCCACAGAGAGTCCAGTGGCCCACGATGGGTAGCCTTTGAGTTTGATCACCTTGTAAGCACTCTCAGCCACCTGCTTGTGAACCTCTTTCCACTGTTCCTTATCTATATCAGTCCCTAAATCTGGGTGCAGAGTCTTGAGGGAGACACCAGTAACATTCACTCCGCTCCATACAGGCACACTAGAATCTCCATGTTCCCCAAGGACCCTACCCATGACAGCTTAATGGGTGAACTCCCAGCCTTTCCTGCATTGGGTAACGGAATTGGGCTGAGCCGAGATTGCAGCCACTTCCAATAACACGGTTTTTGGGAAAGCCACTTATATTCCAAGCCACAATAGGTCAAAGATATCCACTGGATTTGAAACAGTAAGCAACTTGCAGTTCAGGCTGTATTTTACAGCATTAGGAATGATGAATTTAAAGAAGTTCACATTACATTGGACCAAATTAAAACGGCTTTCTCCCTCTTGCTGATGTGCCTCAGCTGTGATAATGACCAACTTGGAGTTTGCAGTTACATATAGTCTTTGCCAGAGACAACTTTTGATGTTCTAAGGAAAAGGCTGCCATGTTGGAGATCCATCATCTCGCCCTTCAATTTGTCTTCCATGACATCAACAAGAGCAAGTACACCTGCCAAGTCCTTCATTAAGATACTGATGGCAAAAGCTGTGCCAACAGCATCAACCCCAACAATGGTAATCTTATTCTGGGGAATCTGTTCTTCCTTTAGAAGATTATGAATCGGCTGATCCTCGAGAGTTTCCATATTGGACTTGGAAACAAAAGGAATCGGGAATGCATGTCCAGCAGGTGTCCGGGCACGTGGCAGTGAGATTTGGACTCTTGGGCAGCGGCTCCAGCACCTTGGCTGCCTTTAAGTACAGTCAGTCAAGGAAAGGCAGGATAAATGCTGTTTCCTTCCCTGTTTATTAATTTTTAGAATGATGAGTTCATGCCCCTAGTGGCCTCTAATTTTTGTATTTGTTTTTATTTTTGGAGTATCATTAGGAACTCGGGTATTTTAAAATAAATGTTATGTGTTTTAGTCTTTTGCAATCATTATTTGGTTTGATATTAAAATTAACACCTCTGTAGATTCAAGTTGTTGAGTCGACATGGCCTTTTTCATTTTAACAAGTTAATATGATTAAACTTCTTGTTTTCTGGCACAGAAGAATGTCCCAGGCCCACCTTATACAATTCCTTCCCCAAACCTAGAACCCAACTTCCCTCCCAAGAAGGCCTTATTTCCTTTTAAGGAGATGATAGCATTTAGAGACTACAAATCTAAGGACTACGTATGTTTATTTCTACTGGGTTGTTGTTTCTTCTCAGGCTTTTTAGTGGACAAAGCTAGGAAATATGTATTTTTTTAGAAAGATGAAGAAGTCATGAGTTTATACTGATGCTTTCACTTTTTCTTGGATTTTTTTATTTGTATTTCTTATTAATGTTGATATCTTGGTTCCTAATATTAACATAATCACCTATTTGCTTTGTCTTTCTACATATATAACATTTTCAAAATAAGATGACCAACATGATCACTAATAACAATCCTGCTGAGTGCAGTTGAAGATGTCTTTGTGGTTCTTTTTGTTCCTAGCATACTGTTATGGTTATATACAGTGAAAATACTGTATTATAAAAGCACTTAAATAGTTTATTTGGTCAGGCTGCCAATTTCAACCAATTAGGTAGGTAGGTAGGCAGGCTTTTTTTTCCAGTTTGTTTTATAGTTTTTTGGGATTCCTTTGGGGTTTTGTTTGTTTGCTTAATTTTGTTTTTAATCGTGAAATGTCTACATGGTTCTAAAAGCAACGTTGTGAAACAGCACATTCAGAGAGGTTCTAGCTTTTATCCCTTTCTTCTCCTCATATTCTTTCCCACTCTGGGTAGGTAACTGACTTTTTTTTCTGTTGAAGATACAGGCAAATCTATGTATACATGTATTTACACATGTAAATATTCTCTCCCCTACTTCATAACACAAAGAAAGATAGCAAAGTATACACACTCTTCTGCACCTTACTTTCTTCACTTAATATATCCTAGAGATCATTATTACATAGTAGTGTAGAGTGATCTTCTTTATGCCTTTTCACAGCTGCATACATTTAATTTGTATTTCATTTGGAATCTGCCTGGGTTTTTTAAGCCCCAGGCTTCTTTTCTGCCATCGCAACTTGATTCTGATTAACACTCCAGCCTGCTGACCCTCTTCTTTTCAAGATAATCATATCTTTGTGTCTTGCAACCTCTTCACATCCTGTTTATTTTTACTGTCATGCTGTTTTATTCATATTGTCCACCAGCACAGAACACCTTTCTCTCCTTTGTCTATCCATATCCCTATTCTATCCTTTCATTTGGCCATGACCCAGATCACTCTATATCTTCTTCAAAACCTTTCTCCCTTTCTGTAGTCCACTCAGAACTCTTCCTTATTAGAATCTTCTTTGAAAAGAAATATTTTACATATTTTAGCACTTTATTATTTTCTAAGGATTCATGTTTAACAGATTCAGTTCCTTAAATCAGTTTTTTAAGGGCCGAAAATAAGATTTTTTTGGTATCTGTTCCAAAACAATGACCACTTTTATAGTCCCTGAAATGATCATCGTAAGTGATCAGAGGGTATTAAAATGAGAGATTAGGAACAACTTCAGTGTTTAAGAAAATCATGTGTTTCTTTAGATATTCACAATGAATAAAAACATTTCGGATAGTTTTTCAAGATAATTTTAGAGTGTCACTGAATGCTAAACTGAAATATTTTTAAAGTTATATCAAGAACATTACTTTTAAGACACACTTAGGAAAATCTTCCAGTCGTTTACCATTTTTATTTATTTGCCAACTCTTTGGGCCTTTTACTCACAGAGCTTCTGTTCATTTTTCTCTTTTGGTCAGGTAGCAGCTGTCTCTGACTAATTTAAAATGTTGCATTAAAATGAGCTGTGCTATTTTCACTACTGCATATGTTCATCTTTTGTTTTTGGGAAATGACATGATATGATTCAGCATGATAATTTAAATATCACCCAAAATGTAATCATTTCCAGATCCATTTTCTGACATTTAATACTATTCACAGTTAAAAATGTCATAAAACTAAATACAGCGATATTCGTGTCAGTGCTTATTTTTAAAGTAAAACATATATGTTTAACTTGTTGACAAAATTATTGTCTAAATAATACATGCTGTACACATTAGAGTCAGGTGTAATAGCTACAGCATGTAAGGGCCACTTAAAAAGTCACGAATCGACATTTGGTTTCGGTTTGTGCTGCAAAGGACAATTGTCATTATCTTAAGTAACACTGTAAATTTTGGTTTTAGGGCCTGTTAATAAAAGATTGGCTAAAACAACGCTTCCATGGATATACATATAGAACTGTCTGCATAGATCTCACCAGTTTGAGAGTTTTTCACCTTTTGTCCTAGGGAGTAGTGAATGCTTACAAGCTAAGATAGGTTTTAGTTCTAGAAATTTCACCAACTTCTCTTCTACTAAGCAGAAATCAAAGGAAGAAGAGTAAATAAGTTTTAAGGTCTAAAGGAAGCTTTCCCTTCTAGTTCAGTTTTTCTGTGAGAAAAACTAAAAATTATTTTCCTTTATCCCACTTTATTTCCTGTATTCCTTTAGCAAGTCCTTTCCAAAATTCTTTCCCCAAAAGCTAGCTGGCTAGCTTGATTGCTTTTTAAAATATAGTTTATAAGAAAAAATTTCAAACATACAGAGAGTAGAAAGAATAGTATAATAAATACCATGGAACGATCACCTAAATTTAACAGTTACTATTTTTATTATATTGACATCATTTCTACTTTTTCTGAACTATTTTAACATATATATGGAAATTATGATATTTTACCTCTAAATTCTTTTTTTAAAATATTTTCCTATGTAACCATAACATTGTTAACATCTAACAAAATTAGCATTAATCCTCTGTCATAAGATATTCAGTGCATAATCAGATTTCTGTAATTATCCTCAGAATGTCTTTTGTAGGTGCTTTATTCAAATCAGATGCAACCAAATAAATCTAGCAATATAATTTAATTACTATTAAGTAATTTAAATGTAAGAATTAAAATTCTAAATGACTAAAAAATTATTACTTTTTTTAAAGCATGGAGCCAAGTTAGTTTTGTATTTGTCAGAGTTGATACATAATCACCAAGATGAATTGACTGAAGAAGAGCTAGACACAGCAGAGCTACTTATGAATGCTTTGAAGTTATGTGGTCACAAGTGCATCCCTCCCAGTGCATCAACAAAAGCAGACCTTATTAAAATGATCAAAGAGGTGAGTCAATGAAACCATAGTACTTTCTTAGGAGATTCCATCATAGATAAAGAATGATTGACATTACTTTTTTAAGAACAGAGTATCATTGATGATGAACTTGAAGTGATTATTTTATTTTATTTTTCCTATATACTGTATTGCTTTTTTCTATGAGAGAAGAAAAATAGGCTTATTTTAAGGAGCACTTTGTTCTCTGTGGTCATCAGTATCCATTATCATTAGCCTTCAGTGAAGGGAAGACTTTTAAAGTGACAAGCAAGCTGAAACATACCTTGAGTTAGAGGTTTTTAATGAAAAAGCAGAGTAAGGAGGCAAGCGACTATGTAAACTCATCAGGTTTGGCAACCCTGGTTAACCATTCTACTCTAATTTATGTGACCTAAATTGTATAGACACAGAATTATAACATTATAACATTGTTTAGATGGTTCATTTATTTTAATATTCTGGTCTCCTAGGGACAATCGTTTTTCCTTTGTTAACTGGGTTTTAAAATGAGTTTGTTGGGCTCTGTGCCAATGTTAGGTGAGAAATAATAAATTTTATATAGTATATTATCTAAATATTTTAGGAACAAAAGAAATATGAAACTGAAGAAGGAGTGAATAAAGCTACTTGGCAGAAAACGGTTAATAATAATCAACAAAGGTAAGATTTTGTATGTTCCAAAGGCATGTCTTTTAGGAATCTATTAGATTTCACATATACTTTTAGTTTTAAAGTATCATGTTTTGATAAATACGTTCCATGTATTCTTAACTATGGACAATCTTATTATTTGTTTAGTCTCTTTCAGCGTCTGGATTCAAAATCAAAGGATATATCTAAAATAGCTGCAGATATCACCCAGGCAGTGTCTCTCTCTCAAGGAATTGAGAGAAAAAAGGTGATCCAGCATATTAGAGGAATGTATAAAGTAGATTTGAGTGCCAGCAGACACTGGCAGGAACTTATTCAGCAACTGACACATGATAGGTAAGCTGCGGGAGGACGGTTAAAATTGTCTTCCATGAAGATGTAAGAGATTGATGTTAAACTGAATTTGTATTCCAGAATTCAGACTCATAAAATCATTTCATTAAACTTTTTTTGTTTAATCATTTGTGATTTTTTTTCATCTTAAAGAATAATCATACGAGTTTTTTTTTAATTCTGGGGAAGAAAAGTAATGAGAGACTCATTAGCTTGTCTAGATGGTAAAATTGGCTTAATTTAAAAATACGGTCTTTGTAAAAGAATAGAGAAATCACTGAAACAGGATGATTGAGAAAAATATATTTTTCTAACTAATTTAAAATATGTATTACAAATAACAAAAAGAGGGAAATTGGGTATTATTCTCCAAATTTGGTTAAGATAACTGATTCATGTGACTTTGGTGTACTAAAATACACTAAATATTAGACATTAAAGTAAATTCCAAATGGTTAAAAGAATTACTCAAAAAGTTTATAAAGTAGAAGATAGTAGGATATTTGTCAGCTCTTTGAAGGATAGATGACTTTCTAGAAGAAACTGCAAATAAATCAATAGATTTTAACCTTAATTTTTTCCAGTGTGTTTAACAAACATAACAACAACAAAAAAGCCTGGAAATATATTTTCAGCAAATAAAGAGTTATTTTTATTGTTTGAAAAACGTATATAGATTCTAAAGTAAAATATTATGATCCCAGAAGTTTGAATGAGCAAAAGGCATGAACACATTCCTCACATACGACAAACTGAGTTACTAAACACATGGGAAAATATTCAATATTGCTAGAGGCTAATTTGGTTTTCTAGAACCTTTAGATACCACATTTTACTTTCTATGTTAAAAAAAATTTTGGCTGCTAATATTCACAGCAGGGTATTAGCTGTCCTTACTCAGAACTTTGGTGGCATTGTACATTTTGACAATATATATTAGTAATCCTAAAAACGTTTTACTTCTAGCTTCAGTTATCCTATTTTAGTGATTCTGTCCTAAGGAAAATATTCAAAATATGGAAGGCAGGCCAGGCACAGTGGCTCACACCTGTAGCCTAGGACTTTGGGAGGCTGAGGCAGGAGGATCACTTGAGCCCAGGAGTTCAAGGCCACAGTGAGCCATGAACATGCCACTGCACCTTGGCTTGGGCAACAGAGTGAGACCCTGTCAAAAAAGAAAAAGAAAAAGAAAATAAAAGTTTCCATCTCTGCATTATTTATGCTAGTGAATGAATTAGAAACAAGTTATATATTAGCAGTAATATGGTTAAATACATTACAGTGCATCTGCCTTCATATTGGGCAGCCATTCAGAATAATGATATAAAGATAATACTGTTTCTGTAAAATAAGGCAAATTATAGAAAAATGATCATAATGATCATAACTACAAATTAAAAACAGATGCGTGTTTTTTAAAAAAAGACAACAACCACTACCAGTATTTTGGTATGTTTAGGATATGAATAAGGGTGGTTTTTTTCTCTTATTTATTTCTAAAATTGTATTTAATATGTTTTTCCTGTCTTATTTCATCTAAGATACAAATTTATTTTAAAATCTTTTTTAAAATGTGATTCATACCACAGAAAGAAACTGATTTTATTTGTTTCATTAGAGAGTAGGCAAAATGAGGCCAGGTGAGGTGGCTCATGCCTATAATCCCAACACTTTGGGAGGCCCAGGTGGGTGGATCACTTGAGGCTAGGAGTTTGAGACAAGCCTGGCCAACATGATTAAACCCCATCTCTACTAAAAGAATACAAAAATTAGCCGGGCATGGTGGGAGCCTGTAATCCCAGCTACTTGGGAGGCTGAGGCAGGAGAATCACTTGAGCCTAAGAGGCAGAAGTTACACTGAGCCGAGATTGTGCCACTGCACTCCAGCCTGGGTGACAGAGCCAGACTCTGTCTCAAAAAAAAAAAAAAAAAGTAGGCAAAATGGGAAATGTTAAAAATTAATTTGGAAAAAAAATTTTATCTAACCATATTAAATGCAGCATGTTGTATTACT